GTTATAATTTATTTAGTTTATTTATTTAGTTAAAATTGATTATTCATTGCAATGCCTTTCTAACATTTTACTGTACTTAGTTTATTTTATATATTTTCCACACTTTTGATTGCTTCAGTTAAGATAATTTTCCCTGAGAGTTTCTGAACATATAATATCCGTAGCATAAAATTATAACCCATTCCGCTCTTACCTTTACACGATAAAACAATTTTAACCTTCCTCTTGATATGCTTTCCTTTCATACATTGTTTGATTGAGAGTTGGCTTTGAAGGGAATCATCTCTTCATCAACACATAGGTCCTATTTTAAAAGTAAGCTATTAAATTTTTTTAATACTGCACCAAATAATGGCCTCACTTTGATAAATTTGTTTTTATTGTTTTTTAGGAATATCGTTATTGTCAAATTTATGAAAATTAGTATGTAGAGCAAAAAAAAAAAAAAACGGTCTCGTGTCCTATTGCGTGAAATATAAATTTGAAAAAATTTTTCCCATTACAAATATAATCCAGGATATTTCAACGAACATTTATTGATATTGATTCCAATAAATATTTTTATTTTATTTATATTAGTTTGTTTGAATCTCGTTAATTGTTTAGAAATAGCGTACACATTTGGAAAAAAAAAGGCCATTGTCTTAAATATATCATTATCAAAATATTCGCTAAAATATTTTAATGGAGATTTCAGTAAAACCGGATATCTAGGTTGATCTAAGTTTTCTAAATGCAGACGTGGTTGGCTTAAAAGTTTTTATGTCCAATGAATATCACATTTTTAGTTGTTTCAAAACTTACCAACAATATTATATTCTACCTCAATTTCAAAACTACCATCGTCATTTTCAAATTCATTTAAAAATTCAGCGAGATCTACTTCAGGAAATATGTCTTCAGATTCGTCACTACTCTCTAGTTCATCAATATCTGATATAATTCCGTTGCCTAATAAAGCTAATACCTATACCATTCTCACAAAACGTTTTTTATATAAAAACTATTATTATTGTATAGATAAAAATATTATTTACAAAAAGTTGGTGAAATAATAATAGGAAATGTAAAAAATTAATTAATAATTTAATTTCGTTTTATAGTGTATTGTGAATACAAATATTTAATATTAATTTGAATGCCGGCATATTATCAACTATTATTCTAATTAATCAGCAGAAAGCGCGGATGCGCGGAGATTGAAGATGGACCACGAACATGATACGAAGACCCAGACTATACTATAGTGTACCCAAGTTTACCCATATGTTTTCGAATAGAAAATAAAAACCAACCATTATAAAGAGGTTTAATAAATTTATCAAAATTCACTACCACCTTTACACCCAGGAAAAAAAAAGCGGCCAATAAATAATGAGGTCTAACGGAGTAAAACACAACTAATATTTAAAAATCTAATATCAATTTTTCAGTTCAAGATTTTTTTAGATAACTCGTAATAAAATAAATTATCTCATGAACACATAATTTTATACATATAACATATAATTTTTTTTTCAAATGAACGTGCTTTTTTCATTTAGAACTAATTATTATAACACAAAAAATCTAAACAGTTCATTAATTATAATGATTGTATTTTGAGTACATCATAGTGTACTCAGGGTCTTAAGGACCATCACGTCAACAATACTTCAAGATTAAGTAAGAATAACATAATTTTAATTTAATTCAGAAAAATAATTACTATGATTTTTCATGTTAACGTGGTTGCTTTAAGTCAAGATTAGGATTTAGGAAAGGTTCAAGAGGTCAGCTGACCCACAGTTAATATTTGTTGACAAATTGACCTCTTGAAGACTTCTCATATTTTTAAGTATGCAGACTATAAATTAAAACTAAATTGGCAAATGCCCCAGTTTGCACCTTCTCCCACAAATTATGCTACTGGTTTAATTGTATAGTAAAATTTAACATCTTTATGCCATACTCTATTTAAGATTCCGTAAAATAAATTAAATGTTATTTATCAATGAGTATTATAATTAAACTTATAAAACAAATATTAAATTATCATATTGATTTTTTGTCACAAGGAAAACATTTATAATCCACTTTTAGCTCTAATTAGTTAGAACTTATAAAGTGGCCTCTTGAAATAGCCTGACCAACAGTTCTCTAACTGTGTATCCGTCCCTGGATGGGTTTCTATTTTAAGAATAAATCTTAGGGCCCCCGGGGATTGCCGGGTATCCGGGTTGGCCAGACCGACTCTGGCTTTGACCATATACGATGCTGCATTGGTTATAAATAAAATAATATCGTCATGCTTAATTTCATTTGGCCACAAAGAAAAAAAGTTTTATCAAATAATTCACAAAATGTCATGTGGTTTGCTTTTTCCAATACTTCTGGTGAAAGTAAAAAAAAATAGCTGATCCGTCAGTTAGTATAGCTCCAATTATTACATTCACAACAAATTGTCTTTCTATATTTGTCGTCTTATTTATAGAAACCTAGATTTTTTTATTAACTTGATTTTTTATCTGATTCGTCTTGATAGATCTTGATAGAGATAAATCCCGATCTTAATAGCAATCATTGACGCATATTTTTCCCAGAGTAAGATATAGATGGTATATTTTTATTTACATATTTTTCAAGGAATAGACGAAGATCAGGATTTCTTAATTTTTCTTATGGAATATTCGATTTTATGAATTCTTCACATAAATCCTTAGAAAAATCAGATTTTCGTGTTGAAAATGTAATTAGCTGTTAATTTTTATTTTTATTTTGATGATTAGAAACTCTTATATGTTTCTCAGTAGTGAGAAGTGTACTTCTCAAGTGCTGAGTGACTATGGAACGTTTTTCGCACATTACTTTTACCTCGCATATCTTTCAAAATAATTCACTCCCGTCTAAAGCGAAAATATGTTCATAGAATTTAGTAACGTAATTTTTACCTCTAAAGGTAGATGATGTTTTTACTTTCGCTTTTTTAATACAAATTAATCAAAAAATACGGATGCTTGATATTAATTCATGGAAGACGTCTTACATATAAAAGAATAATCCCGAACATCACGAATTGACTATATTCGTCAATTTTACAAATTAAATGAATCATGTTTTCGTAATAATTCCAATAATAAAAAATTTGAGATATTTTTCTTAAAATAAATATATTTAATTGGAAATTTCTTGTCTAAAAGCCGTTATTAGGCCGCCATGTGCAGTGCCGACAAATACAACTATAAATAATTGTTATTGTTTTTATCATTAGGCCCATTTGAAGTAATTTGTTTTGTCAATTACATAATATTTTGCTCTAATATATGGTTAATTAATAACAAAAAAATTGTAAAATATGCGAATAAATAAAAAAAACTCATAATATGCAATTTTATGCAATTATATGCAAAATAACATTTTGTATTTGGATTTGTATAAGTTTAAATTCAAATTTGTATAGAATCTAGAATTTTTTTAGTTCATTCAGTAAAAACATGCAAATGCATGAATTTTTGGACTCTTATTATAATAAATACTATCATATTGTAAATTCCTAGATTTTATTATGCCTCGGAAACGGATTAAAAATATTGCATAAATGAAAAATTATTAATTTTATGAGTGACACAATGAAGTAGTTAGTAGTATTTTTACTGAAGTCAGTTATCGTTATTGATTATCACAATCAAAAAATTGTTTAGCATTTTATTATGTTAAAAATATTTGCTTTTAATTGTTATGGTCCCCAAAAATTTAAAAATTCCCGATGTGACCCTCCAAAAATATTAATTATTGACCCCTGCTGTATTGTATTAAGTTATAAATAATAGTTTATGATTATATACGTATATTAAAGATTAAACATAAAAGGCTACAGGGGTACGTAATTATAATTGATAAAAGAGAAACGTAATATAAAATATACCCAGTATCCAATACATGATTGAAAATGCATTTCTAGTTTTAAATTAAAATTCGTTATTATACCTACATATTATTGATTTTTATTATATTTATTCATAAAAATGAGATTTGTAGCAATAACCGTGATGGTGATGCAAATAATTCAAACAAGTATATTGTGTTTCGTCAAAAGTTATATTTCATAATTTTTTTTCGTATTACTTCTTGTGTGCTAAAAGTATCATAAGTAAAGAGTACTTACCACTATTATTGCGTATTTATAAACTGAATTCGATTATTATTAAAGTAAAGGTTTATAACTGTCGATGAAAACGTATAGGTAAAAAAATACATTAAAATAATTGAACTATTTTATTGGATCTTATAATTGATTTGGATTTGAAAGTAACTACAGTAACTAATTCAATAGTCTACATTTGTTTTAAATATTAAGACCAATATTATATTATGTTATTTTTTAAGCTTTGACAAAGGTTATTATTAAAAATGTTATGCGAAAAAAAGTATCGCATTTTTAACTGAGTTTAGTTATTCTTTTCTAATTAACTTGTAACTTTTACAAGTTAACTAAAAAGAAAAGTGACTCTTAACTTCCATATTTCTATATTAACTCAATATAACGAGTTAAAACAATTTATTTACTTGATCAGTCTTGAATTTCCCTAATTTCAGTTCTATAGAACAATAGTGAAGTACTGTAGAAGTAAAAAATGTGATAAAATGTTTAACTAATCACGACTTTGAATAGACTAAATTTTGTGAAAAAAAATATTTTTTATTAGTTTTTGCGATTTCCTTGAAATTAAGAAAAAGAAAAAATTAAGAATTAAAATTCTCTCATTAAATGCTTAAAAAATATATATCTCATATTATTATAGATTCAATAGATCTATAGTTTTTTTTAACGTAAAAAATAAAAATATTTTTATATTGAATTGACCATAATTCTTAGAATGTTTACTTTAACCTCAAGAATAAACATATATTTGAAGATATTTTTTGTTTTATAATAGTTAAATACTACAAATTTAAATTTTATAATACAAAATATTATGTCATATCATATTAATTTTTTTTTTGTTGATACATTTTACTAGGATGGCTGTTGGACTAACCGTGCTTGGAACTTTTCTCCTGATCACTCAGCCATGTTTATCTAATGTTTTTAAATTTTTGGGACAGTCCTATCGTGAAAACTTAATTCGATTTCATGAAGACGCACAATTTGGAAACAAATTAATCCTAAAAGAATACGATTTTATAGTAGTCGGAGCAGGAGCTGCAGGAGCGACGGTTGCGCGAAGATTAGCTGAAGTACCAGAATGGAACATACTACTTCTGGAAGCTGGCGGAGAAGAATCATTGATAACTTCTATTCCAGCCATTGCTCACTACTTACAATTTACAAATTACAATTGGGGATACCACACAGAAAAAGAATTGCATGCTTGTAAAGGGCTTATAAACCAAAAATGTCCTTGGCCAGCAGGAAAAGGACTTGGGGGAAGTACGATAATCAATAATAATATGTACACAAGAGGTAATATAAAAGACTTTGATCGTTGGGCCCAATTCGGAAACGAAGGGTGGTCCTATGTGGATGTACTACCATATTTTTTAAAAAACGAAGATATAAACGTACCGGATTTAAAACAATCGCCCTACCACGGAGTTGGAGGACCCCTGCCAATTAGTTATCCCTCGTTCAAATCAAAACTAGTGGATGCATTCCTGGATTCAGCACCCGAAGTAGGTATGCGAGTTGGTGACTATAATGCACCGGGCAGCCACGTAGTGTTTTCGAGAATTCAGAGCACGACGTTTGGCGGTAGTCGGGTTACATCTGCGACAGCGTATCTTCAAGAAAATTTAAAAAATCTACACATACTTGAATTCGGGTATGTAACAAAAATATTAATAGACGAAAAAACAAACACTGCGTATGGAGTTGAGTTCGTGAAGAACAGAAAGAAACGAAGAGTGATTTCGAAAAAAGAAGTCATTGTATCGGCAGGGACGTTTAACTCAGCAAAGTTGTTGATGCTATCCGGGATTGGACCCAAAGAACATTTGGAATCCTTAGGAATAAAAACCATACGTGATTTGCGAGTGGGAGACAATCTACAGGAACATCCTGCGTTCGCCGGGTTAAATTTTGTTATCAACGAGACCATATCATTCGTTCCAGACCGGGTGTACCGTAACTTTATCGGTGAAATGATTAAAATATCTCAGAAAAAAAGTTGGATGATGGTTTTGCCACCCGAAGGAGTCGGATACGTGAAAACCAAATACAACACAAATGCGGGAGACGTGCCCGACATAGAGTACATATTCCTACCTTGTAGTATCGCGGGAGAAAGTGGCTTGGGTGGCAGTATAGGACGAAGATCGATGGGCATACCTGATAGGTTGTATTACGAGATGTACAACGGGTCTCTAGCCAAAGACTCGTGGTCAATTTGGCCGATGTTGATGTACCCAGAGAGCAGAGGACAGGTACGGTATTCACGTGTTCCGGAAGGGGAGGGAATGATCATAAATTTGAATTGTTGGCAGTCAGTTAAGTGCACATTAAAAATGGCCACAAAATAATGCCTACAAACAAAATGTCTATCTATGTATATGTTACGCCGTATTCGTAAAATTGTCGTTGCTGAATTTACATATTCGACAACTGTAAAAACATAAGACTGCGGATTGCACAAAACGCATGAAAATAGTCTGTCTGATTCGGAAAATTGTTAATTTCACGAAGACATCGTAACATGTACAAAAATGTACTAACACGATCGGAGAAAAATATTGCTTAAGGTTCGGTGTAAAAAATGAGTTAAATTTTTTCTTAACTAATAAGAAATAATAATACTTAAGTTTTCTGATTATTTTATTCCTACTTCTATTCCACTATTTCGTCGCAATAATAGTTTATCGTAATTAACAATATTTAAGGACGTATTTCATTACTACTGTAGTGTTTATTCATTGCAATAAAATATTTTTCACTGTCGCCTGATCTGTTTCGAACAGAAATTATGTGTGACGTGTAGTATTTCACGAACAACATCGTTTCTTTTTACCGTATTCGGCAATTTTCGTATAAATCCGTGCACTCGGAGTCCGGGACCCGGACGTCTTAATACCCGGATACATTTATACGTGTAACGAAAAACGATGACTTCAAGTTTATACTGATTTTCCCGGGTACATTTTGCAGGTTCGTCTGCGCAGCGCCAATCCGTTCGACAAGCCCGTGATCAACGGGAATTTCTTCGCGGACCCGATGGACCTGAACCGGATCGTTGAAGGCATCAAGATGGCGATTGAGCTCAGCAAAACTAAGGCATTCCAGAAGTACGGGTCCCGGCTGCACCAGAACCCGATGCCGGGATGCCAGCACTTGGAATTCGGTTCCGACCGGTACTGGGAGTGTTGCGTGCAGACGATGACCATGCAGATGCACCATCAGAGCGGCACGTGCAAAATGGGGCCGGCGTGGGATCGCAACGCCGTGGTCGACCCTCAGCTGAAGGTTTACGGCGTGAACGGACTGCGCGTGATCGACTGCTCGATCATGCCCACGATCACGGGCGGTCACACGGTCGCGCCCGCGTACATGATCGGCGAGAAAGGCGCCGATCTCGTCAAGTCGTCCTGGCCCACGGGCAACAACGGTACGCTGTGAAGACGCACTGTCTTCGCCGGCGAATGTTTCCGTCTGAACGGATTCCGTTCGAGTAACATATCTTATACCGTTTGTACCGTTTTACACAGTTTCTATTTTTTATACGTTATGAATTGTATTTTCCCATACTTTTAGAGATATTTCAAACTAATTATTATTATTCTTATTATTGATACAGCTATTAGTTTAGTATCATTAACTGACGTACAACTGTTAATCGTACGGTTATTAATCGATAGTTATTGTTTTTATCCCAGTCTTCTCCGGAAGAGTTTCCTCTAAATATATTGTGCAATATTTCGTATTTTTATAATTGTATTTTTTTATTCTGACTTGATCAGAGTTCTGGCAACTGAGCTGTACGACCAGCTTCCCTAATGTACAACTGTCAACTATTCTCTTAGCGCAGTAGAAAAACCCAGCCGCGGTAGACTTACATTGTGTCTGAAAGAAACTATGTTTGTATCCATGGATATAGTGAGACCCACCCAGCCTGACTAGCGTGTCGTTTGGTTACAATAAAAAGGTTATATAATAACGTGGCGCGTAATCATGTAGATTAACAACAAATGTACCTACTAATGGTATATACTCGTATATTTTAAAAAAAAACAAATCTGAATAAATGAGATCGAGTGAAAATCGTGCTGAATATGTAAATTTGGTAATTTGGTCTACAATTTTATGAATTATTTTAATTTAATTGGTAGTTTTAAAAAAAATGTTCGAACGTTTAGTCTCAGCCAGTGTTGGGACTTATCTAAATAGATTTTGTGTCATCTTTTATCTCATCTAGATAAATAACGCTAAGTTATCTAATTACTTATCTAAGATAATATCTAGATAATTTTATCTAGATAATTATCTGTATTTTTGCCAAGATTAGAGTTATTTTTATTCTTGTACGGAGACGAATCCAACAAATCAGAGATCGTCAAAATCGGTCCAGCCGTTCTTGAATTATAAATTCTGTAAATAACCTGACTTTCTTTTATACATATAGATTTTGTATTCATAATCATAATTTGTGTATTATTAACTAGTAATTATTATTTCTTGGTATGACATTTTGTTTGTAATTTCATATCGGGAAAATATTTTTGGTATTTTCAAACTTCATTTCTTATTTTACCACGGAAGTTTTAAGTATAGTAGGTATTTAATTTTAGTATATACATATACATGTAATTCATACGCTGAATAGTCATTACTTCACTCTTGGAACTCGTAAAGTCGTAACTACTTATAAAATAATGAAAAATCATCAAATTAATATTATATGGAAAACAATATTGTTAACTTAAAATAATTTTTTATGTATTCTGTATTCATCCTGATACGTACAGAGCAATTTTCATTTTTTTTTTCTTTTTTATGTAACATTTTAGTGATCAACTATCATATTGTAACTATCATATCATATTGTACATTATATATAAATACTGCTTAATGGTACACTACATTACTACAATAAACATTAAAACCTAGGTACCTATTGATAATAATGATTATAATTGAGTCTTCATAGATATTATTAGAATATGAAATATTGACCAAAAAATGATTTTTTTGAAAATATCTTTTTTTTTATCTAGATAAAAATGAAATTATCTTTTATCTTTATCTAGATAAATTTTGCATTATCTATTCCTAACACTGGTCTCAGCCCAACTAGTCATGTTTAATAATTCACAAAGTTCACAAAGTTGTTGTAGTTCAATAAATCTTCTGAAGTAATATCTTGGCATTTAAATTATTTTTCTGGGAATTATACATAAATATAAAACCAAAAACGAAGTAACCGTATTTGTGAAATAAAATAATAATTTAATGGATAACTGGAGCATCTAGTTAAGATTAAATTCACGCTGCACCTAAGTATCGACATCAACTTACCGTGTTTGTAAATAATTTAGACTCTCATCGAAAAAAATGTCATTACCGTCTATTTTGAATAACTATTGTTATTTTTATTCCATAGTCAAAAATCATATAAATAATAAGTTTAAAACTAAATCGAATAAAATATATTTATGATTTTTCCAAAAATAAATTAAATTAAACGTTTAGTTATTATTATATACAGAATTAGTATTTAAGTTTTATGTTGCGTGGTTTAATACCAGAGATGATAATAAACATATTTTTTATAAAAAAAAAGCAGTTTAAATCGTTTAAACCATGTTTTTTGTTTAAAACATGTTTATTCCAATTTTTTTTTAACTATTTTAAACATGTTAAAAATATATTTTAATCGAATTTTAAATGAAATAAAATTATTGGTATAGATTTATTTATAATATAATATATGAACTTGAATGAGTATATATAAAAAATTAAATATAGTAATAGTAAATATAGTAAATATAGCTACGTGTCTACGGCAAATAATTAATAAGTAATAACACTAATAATCAAAAAGTAATAACATAGAAATACTAAATAGTAAAATACTACAGAAGTATTTACTATGTTTGAAATGTAAATAAATTATAAAAATAAGTATGTTGTAAATTAAAATTACTAATAAGTATTGACAACTAATGCAGGTGTACGCTGAGGTTTTTTTTTTATAGTAGTGACTAATGTAGACTTGATCTTGACTATTACTTACTAGTTATTAGTCGTTAAGTATATTTTAATACTATAAAAATTAATAGAATAATTTATTTACTAATAAATATTACTAAAATACATAACATTAAATATTATATTCTAGTCTCCATGCAATATAATAATATTGTTTCATTATTATTGTGTTTATAAGTGTTAGAATGTGATAAAATTCGTGTTCTGCGTTTCCTATTTTTCAAAATGTCTAATAATCAATTAAAATTAAAATATTGAAGTATTTCGTAATTGAAAAACATTTATACATCATGCTATAATGATAGTATATTCTGTGGTTACACTGTCTACAGCCGTTTAATCGTAAACACCTTAGATCATAAGGTAAACACCGTTTAATCACTAAACCATAAAAAATCAAATAAATTAACTATTGCAGAACATTTAACATGACTTGAAGATGGTAGATGATAGGCCAACAATTATGTTCTTTTTCCATTTAAAACAACATTTTTTTTTACATTATTTAAATCAAATGTTTTAAACGATTTAAACAAAACTGCGTTTGATTAAATTAAATTATTGAAACATGTTTTAAACATCTCAACTCTGATTAATACATACATAATTCAACAGGTGATATACCAGACAGCCAAATTTATATAATGCGCTATAATGTTACTTACTTGTTACAATACTTTGATATTGTACTAAGTATACTAATAGTACTGTGTAATTATCAAAAATTTCTTGTCAACATATCATCAATAATTAAGAAGATAGTAAAAAGATTTTTTTACCGAAGATATATGACATATATTTTAAACATTAATTTATATAAAAACATGTGCACATTCATAGCTTTTATTGAAATATTGATTTTTATACTCATTATTTATGGAACATTGTTATGTATTATTATATCATATTAAGTCCTAGTCAAATTTAAATTATTTATTCAATTGTTGTAGTTTTAATGGTTTACATACTATGAATGGTAAACATGATGTTATTAAAATACTGTGGAAATTGTTGTTTTTTCATCAATAATTAATTAATTAATTATTATTAATACCGAATATGTGGTGTTTATTATAATTCATATTATACTATGACTATTTATACTAGAGTAATGTTATATTCAATTACTAGGTACTTATTGTTTGATAACTAATTTTATTCAAGCAGTATGTGTATAAAATAAGTTGGGATATGGTTAAAAGAACATCTCCCTCTTCTGCTAATATCTGGTCAGGTAAATTATAATTAAAAAAAATAATAATCATCGTTGAGATATATTATGGTTTTATCTATTTCGAAAAAAAATTAGAAAATGGATTTAATGTTTGGTCATCAGCCGAATGTATTGTTAGTGATAATATTTGATTGGGTTATGGAGATTAAGTTACTGCAGATTTATAAAAAGAATCAACAGTTTATATTACATTTTTTGCATAGGTGTTTTTGTACATTGAACAATATTTTCGCTAATGAACGAACGTTAATTTACTTTTGTTTCGCAAACTTCAAAAACTATGCATGAAGTGTATCTAATTTACGAAATATCTCTTTCGTAGATAATTTTTCAATAAAATACGTGATATTTGGTACCTCGTTTAATGATAATACTTTCGGGATACACTAACCTTCACCGTTACAGTGTAACGACCAGACAGAAATTCAGTACCCTAAATACACATATATATATATATATATATACTCTGTAAATTGTACGATATGTAATTGGATGATGTTTATTAATTGTTCGAAGAAACCAACAATAATTTCGAAAGTCGATTGATCAGTCATCAGTTATTTAATAACTCCTCACTCGGTACCAAACGAAGAGATTACACGTATATTGGAAAGTAGCACGCTGCTGTTTCATGTCCCATGTAAACTTGACGCATTAGCGTATCACGACTTCGTGGAGCACTTTGTCTGCTAAGAATGTGTAATACAGTTATCCGAAAATGTTCGAGCGTCCATAGAACACAGTTGGATGATTTGTGGTCCGTGCGTATACGTATCCATGTCGAGTATTGATCTAAATGCGAGATACGGTCGTTTTACGCGGCATGGATACTTAAATCTTTTAAGAGCCGTAAAAATAAAACTGTCCGGTGCACACGATGCGCGGACAAAGGAAGGGTTGCCGTTCACTAGTTTATCACTTTTGGCACGTTCAGAATATTAATTCGAGACCTGTGGACATATATATATATACACACATATTATTCCGTTAGCTTATTACCTTATGCATTAATGAAATTCGTGCTTCTGATCGTCTTCAGCGAATTACCGATCGAGGGTTTTTATCGTTGTGGATATTTTATTTTTTACACTTAATTTTTAATTTATGGACCTACTCAAAATGTCATTCGACCCGGCAAAGTGCGCAAATTTCTCTCTTTTATCGCGTGACCGTAAAACCGTGGTCGAAGGCAAAATGTTTTCGTAATGTACAACCACGGCTCTACTGATCATATACGTAGGTTTCAGTCGCCATAAAAAAACTGAACATCCGTCCAACTCGATACGATTTTAACAAGACGAAATCAAAATTGATTTCCGGCGACTGATTAGGTACGATTGGTTACATACGTTGTATGATCAACAGTGTTCAGCATTGATATGTGTAATCATCATCTCGTTTAACTGAGTGGGTAATGATATTAAGGGTAGATTTTAATATTTTCTATACGTCGGAAGTTGGAGGGGTTTACAACGCGAATTTAAGAC